AATGCATCAAATGATAAAATAAGAATGAATATTGATGAGATCAATAAGGGCCTAATATTAAAATGAACAATGATGAGATAATTACGCAAATCCCTATTTATAATCTAAGTTAACTTAACCGTCCAATATTTACCCTCGTTAAGGCTTCGATCGATATTGTGTGGGCTTTGTCAAAGCATTGGCACATAAATCTATATTGGTTAAACGCGAAAAATAAGCAAGTGATATTCACCGGTTGAAATTTTGGTAATAACTTAGTTAGGTTATTCTAATAGGATTAGAAACCTAGAGGTTAAATATTTGGATAAGTCATGAGATGACTTGAACAAAAGTTGTTCATCAAAATGAGGAGTTACATGAGATGTAACTAGTAAAGTGTTACTTACCTAAATAATCATTATCCTAAAAGAAAAGTCAAAGCTGGTTTAGGAAATTGATGTATTATGGATCCTCACCCACTAGAAAATTTTTCGTTGAATTTTTCGAAATTAAAACAGAGAGGGTTTTTAATTTTGAATAAAATAGTGGGAGTAATTTGTAAATAAAGTCCTATTTATAAATTTTAATTTGGTACTTACTTTAATATTTCCATTGTTGTAGATTTAATGGCAAACAACACTTTATCACTGCGATCACTCCTTGAGAAGGATAAACTTAATGGCATAAACTTCCTTGACTGGTTTCATAATTTGAGAATTTTTCTCAAACAGGAACGGAAGGAATATGTCATTGAGGAACTTGTTCCTGATGAACCGACAACTACTACTTCAAGAGCTGACAAAGACAAATTCAAGAAACATATGGATGCTATGTTAGATGTTGGATGTCTAATGCGTGTCACCATGACTCCTGAGCTTCAGAAGCAACATGAGGACATGGTTTCATATGAGATGATTCAAAATCTCAAAGAAATATATGAAGGGCAAGCAAGTCAAGAGAGATATGAGACCTCTAAAGCTCCATTTCAATGCAAAATGGCAGATGGAACTCCTGTAGGAGCTAATGTCATCAAGATGATGGGCTACATCCAAGCGTTGGAAAAGCTGGGATTTCCTCTCAAAGATGAATTGGTTACTGATGTTTTCTTGCAATCGTATAGTTTTGAAAAACAATAAAGTTTAGGTACCAAAATGGAACAAAATTAATCATTTAGGTAAATGTGTTGTTTATCCTAATAATTAATTAGAGGCAATCATATAATTGAATTAATTAAAGTCTACCTATAGGGGTTGGTTCAAGTAGTAAGCAACTTGATATCGCATAAGGTCTTGAGTTCAAGTCCTTGTGTATGCAGAAAGTCCCTATTAGGAGATTCACCCACCAATATAAGTATGCGACGCGGATCGATTCGAATTAGTCAAGATCAAACCTTGAAACTAGGAATACAAAAAAAATTAAAGACTAAAAGTAGCATTCAAATTAATGAAAAACAAAGGGCAAAAACCCAGAAGTCGATACCCGAACCAGTAAGCAAAGATCACAACCGGTGCGCTCTTGACTTCCTCCACTATCGCCCTTAAAGTCTCCCATCATATATCCACAAAAAATAATACATTTTTGAACCACAAAATTACTAAAACTGCACTACCCTGATAATTCCACTACTTGATTTTCAATAAATTACCAATAACTTCCCCAATTTATCATCCCATCTTCAATCCCAAAAAAAAATGAGGATGTTACGGGTAATTCACCAAGGACCAAGACCCTATTTTTCTGATGCATTACCAGACTCACTGCAAGAGACTGCACCATTTCCTTTATCAGGGAAGCTAAGGGTGCTACCGCTACTACTCAGAGCCGCCCTGATTTGGTGAACGGTTTTGCATAAATGGTTATTGATGGTGGCAATGCTCGAGAGACTGATCTTTGCTAATGGAATTGTGCTGGCAAGAACTTGAAGTCCAACGGTGAGTAAACTGCCTGCAGACGTATGTCCATTTTCGTCTTCTGTGTTGCCATCATCTTTGATACGTTCCATTGGGGTTATGAAAAAGCCTAACGGAAGCAATGGGATGCAAGATGTGTCGTTCCCGCTCATTGCAACCTGAACGGAATCGACATCGACAGTTGAGTACACAACGAGGCTGCCGGATCTATCGGTGCAGCTCTCTTGCAGCATCAGCTCTACGTGCTGTGAGGACTTGCCGGGAACCTACATTTAGTGTAATTAGAAGTTATATGCAGAAATACAACTTTTAACAAGCCGAGAAGGAAACTTACATTGATTCTAAGAAGTGAAATGCAGTTTCCAGGATGGGCGCCATTAGCAATGTGAGCCACTTCTTGTATAGCATTCCCATCTGAAAGCACCTCCAGCTGCAAAATATTACATTAGAGTGCTGCAATCCAAGAGGAAGCTAAAAAATGCAAACAGACGAAACAAAATGGAACCTGAGCTCTGAGGCGTTCATCCCTCAAAAGGTCAAAGATTTGGTGGTGAGGATATGGCAGCCAAGTAGAGGAAACAGCACAAAGAATGAGACCATTGGGTTGCCCTGGTTCAGTGACTTTCCTTGTCGTGATTCTGACAGTATCATCATCGGAATCTGGAATAGCTGTCCATAACTGATCACTGGAACAGCTGACGTCGACACAGAATGATCTTATCATCCTTTGAGCAAGTCTCATCAGATTCTTCCTTGCTTCAAGGGAAGGTATCACTGAAAGCGAAAGAAACAATGGGTATGTGTGACGCTCATTATAATGGAAACCAAATCATAAAAGGTGGATTCTTTTGAACCTCCTATGTCAGTGATATTTCTGGCTAGGAGGCTAGCAATCCTTTCACATTGTCTCTCTAGAACAGCTAACCAACGATTTGCTCCAAAAGCCATCCCACTCTGAACGAAATGGCTAAGTATCTGATGGATAGGTTTATCCTCTATCTCTGCATGTTCAACCCAAGTAACCTGCAATTATGTCTAATATCAAGTCATGCGCAACTTCAATTGGAAACCTTTATGTACACAAGAGAAAGATATTTTTCACGCACCCTTGAGTACCCGTTAGGCATGTCATGAATTAAACAGCCAGATGGCCTTCTCTTGTATAAGGGAAATGAAGACTGTAAGTTATTATGAAAGCCATCCAGTGGGAAGTCAACAATTGCCCAATACGTTTCATCGTCCAGATTTTGCTGTTGGCAATAACGAAGGAAATATGCCTCTCGAGTGGGCACCAATGGAGACAGTACTTGCAATTCTGCATACATCTGCTCAAACAACTTATAAGATGGACGATTATAAGTTTAATGAATATAGTGTAGACATTGAATGAAATTCGAGTGTATACCAGCTGGAGGCAACCATTAGTCCCTGAAACACCTGGTGATATAACTTGAATACTTTTGGCTCTAGCAACTATAGAGGGAAAGAGCTCGGTCCATTTGTTCTACAATTGTAAAGAAACCACTTAAAAAACGAGATTTATGCCATTAACAAAGGCAATCGTGGGAAATTATAAGAGAAAATTCAAGGAAAGGAAGCGTACGGCATCAAGGAATGCATCTACCAAGGTGATGCTATTCATTATAACAACTGCACTATCACGGCTAGCCTCAGTCCTGAACTCACATGAGCGCTGCATGACATTTAATGGCCAATGGAACACCCTGGCATGCTCTTGGGTGTTAAGTAATTCCTTGCCGTTTTCGTTGCTTCGGATCCATAGTGGTTCATTTGATCGGCACATCTTCACCAGTTCATCCACGGCAGACGTAGCAAGCTCCATGGCAATAGTCTTCTCCTCCTCCATAAAAGATAGACTGTTATTATCGGGAAAGGAGGCTGCTTCTGACAGTATTGGAGCAATAGGCTCAGGGAATTGCCTTGGATAAATGTTCATGTCCAAATCTAATGAAGGTGGCATTAATGCACCCATTGTTTGGATTGGCCGCCCCATATATCGTGAGGCAATGGCGCAGACACGTTCCAACTGTTAACATATCAACATTATGCTTACTGATAATATATATAAATAGATAAAAGTAATATGGTGATGAATAACCTCTTCTGCAAGTCGTGCATTCTCCATACGAAGTTCATCGAAGGAAACACATCCGGGAACAGGCGCATCACCACAATTTGGACAAACAAGTTTGCATAGTTCCGCTTGAAGGCGATAAAACTCATTCTTGAGAGACTCATTCTCAGCTCTAAGTATCACATTCTCAGATCGATCTTGTTGAGCCTAACAATTAATTTAAACCAACAAACAATTAAAGATTATACAAAATTAAACATAAATTACATCCTAAACAGCCTTAATGAGTATAATAAATTATATAATCTGCATTAACTGTAAGAACCCTTTAGCGATCACATGAGCAGGTAAATGAGTTTAATGCCAGTCCACATTTATGAATACAGACTGTAGTTGCAGTGACCCCAAATTCAAGATGATCCCATCCTTCCGTTTTACTTTAGGGTTTGAGCTGAGTTTTTTCACTTTAGGGTTTAATTTTTCAGTATGCGTAGAGAAAGACCAGAGAGAGAGAGAGAGAGAGAGAGATGTAAATAAGTTGTTTAATTTTCACCTTCATCTGAGTGCGGCGATTTTGGAACCAAAACTTGACTTGCCGAGGCTTAAGGCCAAGTTCTTGGCTGAGTCTCATCCTTTGCTTGTCATCAGGATGGGGACACTCCTTAAAAACACTGCAAAAAACCAAGCATTGGTCTCCATAAACAAAGGCAATGTTATAATTATGAACAGGTAGAAAAAAAAGAGAGTTAAAGATACGTGCAAATACGCTTCCATTTCTTGGATCTGGCGAGCAGTATGTCGATGGTAACGTTTTTTCTTGAGGGCTTGATCACTGCTATTTTCTTCATTCCCAGTTTTGTCTTCAGCTTGTAGTTCGCTACCAGACCCGCTTTCCATATCCTCTTTCCCTCTCAGAAATAACCCATTTTCTTCTTTCTGTAACCCCTCGAAAATAACGTAAAATGAATAAATAGTAGTACAAGTTAAGCAAGAACAAGGGAAGATGAATGACTTACAGGGATCATAAGAGGTAAAGGTTCGAAAGGCAAGAAGTTGAAATTAGGGTTTTGAAATGTTGATGTAAACAAGGCTTCTGAAGAAACCACGTTCCCTCCCATTGATGAAATGACTTGATAATCTCCATACATTTTTTTTCGTTTGGACTGAACTAAAATGGATCTCTTGGTGACACTGCAACGATCAAATAGTGTAAGACAAAAACATCTTCACCAAAGAGAAATTTACTCTAAAATTAAATGCAAAGCGATTAAAGTAGTGAAACTTGATAAATGAATGATGGGATCTTTTCCCAGAAAAAAAAAGGAAAGAAAGACCATAACTTCATCTTCTAAACCACTCTACCAAAAAAAAGGTTTTGAACGAAGGTATTTTGACATGTAGACTGAAAATCCACCATGAACCAAGCACCAGAAAATAAAGTAAAAAACTGAGTGAAACCGAGAATAATAAAGATAATAATAATTAAAGAAGTTAATGTAGGAGTAAATACCACAGCCAATGTTGTCAGTGTTTCCTCCACAGAGAAGAAGAGGAGGAGGAAGAAGAGAAAGAAGACAACTCTCCAAGTTCTTCCTTTGCTTTTTTACTTTGATTTCTATACCTAAAATAGACACACACATCTATGTCCCTCTCTCTATGTCTTCTTGTAATAAACTTTTAGGTGAAATTCCAATGGCAATCCTTAATTCAAATAAATGTTTTAAAAAAGCTTACACTTTATCAAATTAAAGGACTAATCTTATATTTTGACCTAAAGTTACAGTTTCATAGAAATCAGGCAACGCCAGTTACTACGTTTATTGTATTTTTTTTTTACTTGTCCGTTTTGGTAATAAAAGGGATTGAATTGATCTCCTTTCCATACGTTTCCCAATATCAAAAGGTTTTGTTTACTATTTGAACTTTGAATTTTGCTGGTTTTTTCAGTTTAATATCTAATTTTTTAATCCCATTTTAATATTTAAATTATCATTTTTATGTTATTTTAACTCATAAAATAATCGCTGTTCAATAAAAACAGGCAAAACTTTCGAGATAATGTTCTGAAAGAAATTAATTCACGAGCTAATGCACTCCCAAGATTAATTGCTCAAATAGAGTGAAATCCACAGTGTTGGTCGTAGGTCGCCATGCCTTCCGGGCGACCTTGTAGGTCGCCATGCACTCCGGGCGACCTTGTAGGTCGCCATGCACTCTGGGCGACCTACCCTTGCTCAAACAGAGAGAATGAACGTGTTGCATGGCACATGCACGTCCCAACACATAGGTCGCCATGCCCTCCGGGCGACCTTGTAGGCCGCCATGCACTCCGGGCGACCTTGTAGGTCGCCATGCACTCCGGGCGACCTACCCTCGCTCGGCTGCCCTCGGATTCCCTCACATAGCTCGCTCGGTTGCCCTCGGATGCCCTCGCATAGCTCGTTCGGATGCTCTCGAATAGCCTCGGTCGGATGGCCTCGGATGCCCAGCGTGTTGGGACGTGCATGACACATGCTATCTCTTGTAGCTCGCCGAGAAGGCATGGCGACCTAGTAGGTCGCCCGGAAGGCATGGCGACCTACGACCAACACTGTGGATTTCACCTTATTTGAGCAATTAATCTTGGGAGTGCTTTATCTCGTGAATTAATTTTTTCCAGAACATTATCTTGAAAGTTTTGCCATAAAAACATGTCATGTCTCGCTGTTATTGACAGAATTTTTGGGTAGACTGTAGTTTAGTATGAAAATGAAGCAAAAGTACAAGTTTAATTGTCAAAGTGGAAAATAGTTATAATTTTGGGATCAAATGTGAATTAAGGAAAAAGTAAAAAGGGAGAGGAGTGAAGTCAAACGTTTTTAATTAATTTCTTCCTTAATTCACGCGCATAACGACAGCGTGAAGTTAAAGTTCATTTTATTTTGATTCCTTGTTAACTTTCACGCGCTCTTTTCGGGTGCGTTATTTTTGTTTGTTCACATTTTTTACAGAGGGAAATGTCAAAAGTTGTCAAACCCATCAAAGCCTTTTAATACTGATTGTGGGTCCCCTCAATTTTGGATAGTATATTTCTTTTGAATTATGATATAAACATTTATAATTGAAGATTTTGTATTCCATATTTTTTTAATTAATTACATGAATTCAATATATTGATATACTAATCAAGATTTGGTACTATAGAGTCAAAGACGAATCTCTCAGCTTAGTTTTCTCCATTCCTAAACACTAAGGTTCGAACATCTAACATTGCTTAAAGAATATAATGTCTCATCCCACTAAACCAATTGATTGTTGGTGTATTCCATAAACTTTTTAAAGGTTAATATTTATGCCTTAAAATGTATAAATTTTAATAAAGAATTTATCAAATCACCTTAAAAATTAAAAGAGATGAAGTACTATATTTAAGTAATTGTGTCCATGTAAAGTGTGTACCTTATTAATTAATTAAGAAAATTATGAGCATATATTATCTTTGAATAGTATGAGGGTATTTATAATGTAATATGTGTTCAGAATCTTAGATATTGGTAACGCACACAAAGTCACAAACTCTACAGATACAATTGCTTGAAGTCGAGACCTAAAAAAAATAACCTTTTTTATTATTGAACTTGCTTAATAAATTCATGTATTGGCGGTATTTAAATTTATTAAAATATAAATCTTTGAATTGAAGTGTAAAACAAAATATTAAACACCAAAATATAATAAATCCATAGAAGAATTTGCATCATCAATCAACCAATATTCCAAAAAAATTAATAGAGTAACATTCTCTCGAACAGGAATAGACCGAAGAGTAGATGGGATAGTCCCCTCTAAAAATTTTAAAATCCTATTATTTTAAATATTTTTTATATTTTCTATTGAAAAATTATTTTTGACACCTCCCTTAAAACTTTATGATTTTACCCCCATAAAATAAATTTTTGTCTCTTTCCCTACTCTAGAAGGCTTTATATTAAATACTTTGGCTACTATACCTTTAGTTCTATTGATATTAGTGCATATAATATTGGCGATTTTTCTGATAAATCACCCTCATCCTCTTTTATTCAATTTCAGACACCGTTCAGACTATATTTCCCGATCTAACACCCTTTGTAGAAAGGCGCGCCCCCTGAAGCGCGCTTCACGCTGATCTGGCGTCACGTGGGGGTAAGGCGTGCCCCCTAAAGCGCGTTTTATGTTGAGTTGGATACACGTGGCTAAAATACGGCCCCTGGGGCACGCCTTACGCCACGTAGGGCTATAGCGTGGTACAGGGGCCGCGCCTTTTAATTATCACACATGCATAATGCAAGGCGCAGTCCCTGCACCGCGCCTTACATAATTTCATCCACACTTCTCGGCTTTAAAGCATCGTCTCTCCGCTATAAATAGCCCTCTCCATCGTAAACTCTCTCACAACTCCCTCTCAATCGAGAAATTAATACAATAATCCTTTCAATCAGTAAATAACATCCGACAATCCTCTTATATTTGATTCAGAAGTTCGTTCAATCTTTCATTATAAGGTAATTTTGTTATAATATTTTTTTTATAATTATATATGATTATTTGAAAACTTATTATACTAATTGTTTTCAATTAATTTCTGTGTTTGTGAAATTGGAAAACGGGAGCATACGTTGAAATATTTTTGCGGTGTAGGTAATAATATAAAATTATATTATTTAAATTATTTACATTTTTGTGTAAAAATTTTATTGTGTTGTTTTTTTGCAGATATAATATTGTCGCACTTTTAAACTCTAAGAATGATGCGACTTTCAACTATTATTTATTATGATGGAGAAATTAGAGAATATGAAATTGGCGTTGTTTTCGTATCAACTGAGCGTGTTAAAATATCATTCAAGAGAAACATAACTCTTGAGGAGCTGATAACGAAGATTTCGAGGAAGGTTTATGTTGAAAGTAGTAGAAGAATGTCGTCGTTACAGTACAAATTTCTAACATCATTGTTGTCATTAACTTATACAACGTTCGAACTATCGAACAATGATGATGTTGAAATGATGGTTGATTCTCAAAGTAATTATTCAGACGTTGATATTGAGATGTATGCAAAGTTTGTTCAAGTGCATGCTATTCGGGGTCAGTCGTTAAGCTCCCACTATGGGCTGGCTGAACAAGTTGATCAAGTTAACAACCCGACTACAGTAATGTGTAATTATTTTAATGCCATAATGGGAAATCCGCATCATGGTGCTGGCCCATCAACTTCAATTGGGAGACTTTCATCAGCAACTCCTTACGATATGTACCGAAGTGGGTCCACGAACAATCTGTATGGCAACATCACGTCCAGTTCAAGGGGAATGCATTCATCTGCCAATTTATTTGACCTTAATATGGAGATGCCCTCGGCGCAACAATCTGTGCAGTTTCTATTTGAAACGATGGCTTCAAGCTCAAGGGGGAGGCATTTGACTACGAGCTTTTTCGATCTCAATGTTGATATGCCTTCTTGTTCAAGGGGAATGCTTGCAAGTAGTAGGTTCTTCGACCTAAATGTGAAGAGCATGGAGTAACCATCATCTCCACCAGAAGAACTGCTTTGTGAGCCAGGTGCGGATGGAGCTGAGACTGGACTATTCATGCACCCAGAATCACCACAATTCAACTCCGATGATGATGATGATGTAGATGAAGTTCACTCAAATGTGGCACAAAATGACCCTTCAACTCACATGTATGAAGCTGATTATGGTGCAATGTGCGGGCCAGAATTTGCGGATATGCCTCATTTCGGTGACTATAGATTTTACTCATCAATAAATAATGGTGAGTTTTTTAGGCATGGAGTTTTCAAGCAAAGAGGAAGAGATGATGGCTATAAAAAATTACAATATCCATAATTTTGTTTAATCTAGAGTCGACTGCTCCACGACAGAAAAATATGTATGTCACTGTGCCCGACGTGAAAACGGATGCAATTGGATGGTTCGCGTATCGAAGAGGAAGAGGAAAAACAATATATGGGAACAAACAATATACAGCGGTCCTCACACATGTTATGCTGGATGGATTAACCAAGATCATCCCAACTTGGACTCTGAAGTGATCTGCCAAACCATCATGCCCATGGTAAAAGCAAGCTCCCATATAGCTGTTGTTGTGTTGATTTCAGCTATACAATCGCAATATGGGT